GCTATAACTTGGAAGTCCAACACATTATTAAAACAAAACCACATAGAAACAGAAGCAATAAAAAGCATTTTTTATATAGAAACTCTAAAAGTACTACGACTATATTCAAGACTTATTTGCCAAACAAAATCATAGTTAAAATTACACAATTGCAATCTTCGTAACACACAAATATCTTTAAATATATACACAATTTAGACATATAGTTTAGCTTTAGGGGATGTGTAGCGCTCAAAACATTTCAAAATGGCGTCTTTCCAAACTGTTTGCTGACCTCTGAAACGTAGCCGTTTTCGGATTAGGTATTTGTTTTGAAAACACATTAAAATGAGGTGTTAAAAGCCGCATGGTCCAAGAAAAGATTACAAACACTTTGGGAGCTAAATACAAAATCTCTATATATGTAAAACAATTTTGGTTTTAGGGCATATTAGGAACACATTTCCGAGCCCTATAGAGCCTTTTATTGTAAAATCTTTTATCAAATTAGTCAGGAAATTAGCTTTATATAACCATATGGTCCAGAAAAGTTGCTGGGAAGCTAGCAAAATTTTACTACTGTTTTTGATCATCTATTTCACAGCTGGGCAGCGTCTGCCCCGTCGGCGACTGCGCGCCGTATTCGCGTATACATACATACACGCTCTGCTTGGGAAGACAGCGAAAGCTTCATTTGACCGCACGACTTGTTCCCACGCACTCAGTGACATCAATTGCAAAAATGCTCTGCCGAAGCTGCCCACCTCTGATCTATTTAGTAAACTGCGACTGCAAAGTGAAATGCGAAAACTACTACTAATGAAGTATCATACACCACATAGTGCACTGGATTTACGCTGCACTGGTACGTCCTATGATATTCTACGGCGTTGCAGTCTGCTGGACATCACTGGATAAGTCGCTCACTAATTCTAAGGTGCCATCCACATCCAACAAATCCGTGGCAACACTCCTAAACTTTCTGCTCGTAGAGGTTTTTGGTAAGCTACAGGCGAGCTGGAATGCAGTAGGAATGAATGAACTGTTAAAATGGAAAGACACCAGATTCGGTCACATCAATATTCTACCCAACTACTCCGATACGTATAGATCCCCAGATTACACAACAATATCGCTAGAGCACGAAAACAAGTTCTCCACTCGTATCCCTTCGGTCTGGGTCCTCCAGGATAACTCCACAGCCATCTACACAGATGGCGCTAAATATCAGAGCAGGGAATGGAATTCATTCGACGAATGCAGTGTCTGCCCTCAGTAACTATATACTTCGACAGCCAAGCAGCTATCAAGTCAATTGGTTGCTGTGAGACCTACTACTGAGTCTACTGCTCACACATGGGTGCCAGGCCACAGAGATATTCGAGGTAAGAGCTTGCGAACAAGGTAACCAACCTGTCTGACCTCAACTCTTCTCATGAGGCGGGAATATCGCTATCTACAGCAAGATATGGCTCAACACATACTTCGTCGAGAAGGAAAATAAAACATGATCGGAAAAACCCACGTGTGGTACGACTCGACAAATCTGGCACAACATCAACAGGAACAGATCCGATGCACTCATTCGGCTAGAACGCCCTCTACTTAGGCTGATGACAGGTATTATTACGGTTTTACTTCTAGGTAAAACGGACAGGTTCGAAATTGAGCTCTCAGTTTGAGTTAGCCTCTCTCCTACGTTGGATGAAGGCAGCCGCTTCAATTAAACCTGACATAACCTACCCCCCTACTTCTGTAGCTTGTAAAAAAATTTGTTTTAATACGCATTTGCAATAATTTCAAAAAATACTTTCTTTTCCTACAAAAAAAAGTTTCCCAACAAGCATTGTTAGTGAATAAACAATCTTTTAAAATCCACAGTTAAATCACATTTTTTTAATTTTGTTGCTGAAATTGGCATGACCATTTCTAAAAATGCTTCCATTAGAAAAAAAAAAAATATGGAAAATGCGTTGTTAACGAAGAGATATTTTGGCGAAATCCTCTTAAAATATCTCAGAAAATCTTTTCGAATTGGACTATTTTCGTCAGAGGCTGGTTCACCACGCTCAATTGCAAATCAGCATTACACCAGATAATTGTAATTAAAAGTAAAAAAAGTCTAAGTTCGTGTGGAGCTGTATTATCTAAATATAGCTTTTTTCACCTTTCCGAAAACTAGCGCTACGTGGTAAGCAGGGGTAGTTTTATCCCTATTTCATACATCTTCTTTAAACTATATAGTTACATGTGGGCGATATTTCGCCCATTTTCTGAAAGTTTATAATAATGTTATTTCCTTTCAAGGGATTATTGTCAGTATAAATTTTGAGTACATTATCGTCCTGAAATTTCGAAATATCGAAGTTTCAAGACTTTCTGAAATTTACCGTTATATGAAAAGTGGGAGTATTTTTAGTCCGTTCTCAATAATTTTTAAAGTTTTGCTATTATGTGCTAAGCGAAATAATCGTACCCAGTTTGGTACAAATTAATCGAACGGATACCGAGATATACATACATATCTACTTGGTCATAAGCGGGTTATTTTCCAAAATTTTATCATAAACGTGTTTTTTGCTAAAGAATTATTGCAAACATCAATTTTGTATTTATCTAAATTACCGTTATATGGGATGTGGGCGTGGTTATTGTCCGATTTTAAAAACTGTCAGCCGTTTGATATGTAAGTTTGGGAGAAATTGGTGTAGCGGTTACCAAGATATACACATGTAATCATAAGTGGGCTAATCATCTGTTAAGAGTCTTTCTTCGCTGAAGTTTCTTTATGCCCCTTTTATCGCAGTCAACTTTTGAGGTAGCGCCTTAATTTGGGTCCAGTGACGATATGTATGTAGATAAATAACTAATATATAAAATTAAAAAAAAAATATTAAACCAATTCTAAGCTCTTTGTAACTATTTTTTGAATGAATGTGACTGGTGGGACGCTGAAAACCTCTCTATTATACGTTTGTTCACACAACGACGAAGTTTAGCGAAAAACAGTTAATTTTTTAGCAAGATTTTTTTGTGTTGTAAAATATATACCTACTATGTATATGCTTTCGGTTTCATTTTGAAAATTAGGACTGATATAATTTTCACAGAATTAATATAAAATTGAAAGGCTCGGCCTGTAAATGGGCAGCAACGTTTTATTTTTTTGACAAGATTTGACGCCTGATAAATAATTAATCTCATATTGTTTAGTGAGTTAAATCAATTATTACATTGTGGATATCGTAGAAGGGTGACCACTTGTTTCAAATCAATCAAGCTAGGCAATTAGAAAATTGAAATAAATATGTGTCCCGATGTGGGTGGCAGACGAATGAGTTTGTAGTTTGTAGTGTGGAAAGGGTTGCCATCTCTTACTATAATATGGATATTAATCAAAATGGATATGCAAAAGTTTTGTGTCTAAACTACATGTGGAAGGAGGGTTGCCAACATTTTATAAGATATTTATAGTACTTTAAGTCACTTGAAATATATATAGTATTTTATTTGAAAGAAAAAGTAAAAACGCTTTTTAAGTATATATATTTTTACTTTCTTATGCATTTCCTCTATAAAAAAATAGATTTATTTTATGGTATCACATGCTTTATCGCAATAAATATTTAAATTAATTTAAATCAAAAGTTAATTTTTTATTAGTGAGGTAGTCGCTTTATTTCTCTAATCTCGCCATTTCACATTCCTAACAGAAAAAACTCTTTCTGAGTATGCCGAAGTTGCAGGAATAGAGAGCAGAAATGAAATAATTTTAAGTAAATTTGGTAATTCATTGTAAGTGTTTCTAAAAATTTTGCCATTTTTGATCTGTGGTTCTATTAGCGAATATTTCTTTTAGTATTGTTTTTTCAGTATAAAGTCTATCAATTTTAATACACATTTTTTCTTGCAAATTACTGAAATATATTTATATTTATAAACGAAGAAATATAGTATTTTCACATACAACAATAATGTGAACAGGGTAGTCACCTCTTTTAAAAATCTAATTTATTTAAAGTATACATAATTTATATGAAATATTAAAAAATGGGCGTCAAACAAAGGAATGTTAAGAAGTATTTAGTTTTACCATTAAGAATATTTAAGAGGGTTGCCACCTGTGTAAAAAGTTAAACTCAAATTATGTAATAAGTCAATTTAAATTTTAAAATGTGGATATCAATTGGCATGGGTTTTAAAATGTTTTGTTTCTGAACTATATATCTCCTATCATGTCATGTATTTAAAAAGTCAAACTGAACTTAATTCATCAACTAATTGAAATAAGTATCGCAATATCTAACGCAAAAGATTTGTTTATTTCTTAACTACATTTAAGAGGGTTGCCACTAACTTATGCACAAATCCGAATGCGAAGCCGATTGCGACACAGCCCACAGGCCAAGACGAAGACTTACTCTTTTTTAATATTTTTCAGCAGACTAATGAATTTTAGTAATTTAACAAGAGGTTACTGCTGAAATAGACATAACTAAGGCATTTTAAAATTCATGCCGGTTATTGCGTTTTAGAATTATGGTGAAATTTTCGCCTGGTAATGGGAAATTAATTTAAGTCTGATCCGCTCTCTTATACCATAATAAAGTTCGTTTCAACTCTTTACATTTTATGCCTTCACACCTTTCGGTGAAATCTTGCCCTACTCTTTCATATTATGTAAATTTAAAAATTGTTTATCCTGTCCTTCGCAATATTTTTGCTATCTCAACACTTTGGAGCTTATGCGCCAGCAACCAGAATATTTCCAGTTCTAGATATAAAAATGTTTTCCTATTCATTAAATTTTTAGTACTACTTATAGCACATCTTTTAATTGACTGTCTTCAAAATTAGGCCTCAAAAGGTGCGAAAGAATTGCACATGCGCACATCAAAATATTTTCGCTTTTGTGCGTACGGGAAATCCAGAAGAGTAGTAAATTTAAAAGAAAAAATATAGTAATAGGAATAGGGCAATAAAAAAGCTCATAAAACAGCGAGCACATTGGTGACACTTACACATAGCAGGGACGCTCCGCACACGTAACGCCTGGCTTACAGATCTTGCCGTCACCGACCATGCCAGCTGGACAGCGGCCGCACCTCAGGCCCGCCATGGTCTCAAAGCAGTCAACACCTGCGATGCAAGAAAAAAGAAAAGCGGAAAATAAAGTTAGATAAAGAATTGAACTAAAAGCAACAAAAAACCGTACAATAATAAAAAGAAATAATGCGATTAAAATAGCCGGAGCACAAAACAACCTTCACGTGCAGTAAAACATGAACAAGTATGTATGTATGATTCAAATGCGCATGGATACATATGTACATACATACATGCACGTATACTTAGGTAAGTTAATGAAGGCACGCAGCTGCGTATCAATCGTCTAAGTGTTTGGCTAAGCCACAAGTGTGGCACTTAAGTGTGGTGAATCCAGGTGGTTACAACAAATGTAGCGGTTTGAAAGCAACACAATCAGTGAAATTAAATTTGACATTTGCCTATCTACTACTCACCAGGATAACAGGGATTCGATGTGCGACAAGTCGGTTCGATGCGTAAATTGTTGTTGGTCGAGGGTTCCTTGCAACCAACACAGTTCTCCAGCAGTTTGCGCAAGTAGGCGATCTCTTCACGTTGGTGGGCGATATCTTCGCGCAGCAGCTTCACCAGTGCCATTAAGTCGCTGATGGATTTTGCGAGGGCGTCTAAAGGCGGTAAAAAGAACAATAAGCGTTAAAATGATGATTCGAACAATGCAAAAGCGTATGGTACAAGAACTGTTGTACAACTAAAGCGCAGTTAAAATGAGTCAGAAATACACTGAAGACAGATGCGGCACAAAAGCTGCTCAATAAGCGCTTTTATAATATGCGGGGCCGACGGGAGCTCAGAAAAGGAACGTGCGTTAAGAGGGGACGGGCAACCTGCCAGGAGGGTGTGTGCGCTAAAAATTACAAGTTTGCAGTGCCGCCAATGAAGTTAATGTTGGTGCCGACATTGAAGGCGTTTATTGCTGTAGGAATACTGGTATTCACGGTTGTGAGCCGCTGCACATGCGCAAATGCATGTGGGCCGAAGCAGGCAGCAGACACCAAGATAGCACATAGTGTGTAGCAGCATAGCATAAATAAACAACAAAAAAAACAAAGCTAATAACAGCAAAATGCACATCACACGTTTTGCACCATTTTGTACACTGCAATTGCTTTCGCGCAACATTTTAGCTTTGTTTCAAGTATTTCATAAGCATATTTAAATAAAATAGTACATACATGCATACACATATAAGTAATATATAAATACATATCGATGGTCCTCTACAATAACGACCCAACTCAAAATTCCATGTTTTTCAGCAGTTTCAGTTTCTGTACAAAGAATTGGTTAGCTTTAAAATTAAGACCACTTTATGAAGATTTGTTGAGGATTATACTGAAAAAAGACGAAATGAGCATATAAAAGTATCACTAACGTATCGACAGTTTTTGACCAATGTTTACGATAAATGTGAGACTAGTGCCACTATTCAGTAGTAAGGTTTTACCTGCTTCGATTTTCTGACAAACGACACAACTACCGCAGGCTGTCGGTTTGGCAACAAGTAAGCACATGTCGATTTTCCACAGAAAAATATGGTTAGTTATCAACTAAACCGGCTATATAACTCAAAAACATGATATTTGGAGTTGTGTAGTTATTGCAGAGAACAATCGATATGTAAGTAGATATGCATATAATTATAAATGCTTATACTGAATGACACTGGCAGCTACACCCAAGCGCTCGTCACAACAGTTGACTGCATTGGGAATCGGAGTGCAGAAACATGTTGCCACCAGTTTTGGTAACCCGAGCAAACTGTGGGAGGTCGCCATGGGCAAATTCAAGCGCAGCTGTGCATATATGTGAAGGCTATTTTGTAAGATATCAAAAATAAAAGGAACTGTCCTCAAATATTTCTAAAAAGAGTAAGCAACAGAAGATTTTGAACAGATTTCCAGGTTCGTACCGAGTTTGGTAAGGGTTGCTGAAGCGGCTACTGACATTCGGCATTTCATCACAAGTCGGCAGAGTCACGCCCATTTTCCAAAAATTTCATATTAATGTTATTGTGTACCAAAATTCTATTTCACATACTAATTTCAACAATTTGGACCCAATGAAATAGACTGAAATAGATTAGTTTTTGCATTTTTCGCAAAAAGCGTTATATGGGAAGTGGGCGTAGTTACAGTCCGACTTCGCCGTACTTCTTCTCGGAAATAACGCTTTCGCAATGTGATTTAAGGCGGCAAAGGAGGATATGCCTTCTGGGGACCAAAAAACCAAACTTGAACGTGAATTGTTGGTGAAATCGTTGGACCAAATGTTTCAATAAAAAAAAAAAATTAACACTGGAACATAAATATAAAGTATGTTAGCCATAAGGTTACCATGGTAAGGAAAGGATTAATTTAGCATATACACCAGAAAATCATGGTCTGGTCAGATGAAGCCATTTAGCACTCCTAAATTAATATCAGGGGCCGTTTTCTAGTGGAGATTTCAAAATTCATTTTCTCTTAAAAGTTTAGACACAAATTTTGCTCTGAACAAATGCACTTCAAGCATAAAAAGTTAGCATTAGCTCCGAGCGATTTTCAGTACAAATCTCTGAGTTGGAGCTCATTTCATCAGTGCAAAAATGGTGCTCACTTTTCATGCATGAAGCCCGATTTGTTTGATCACACCAGCATCCAAGACTACTTGTGTATCGCTTAGTATGTATACTATTCAGTGTTATGTTATGCTTTGTTACTTTATGATGCCAAAGTTCCCACCGCCTGAAAGCTTTTTAGAATTTTAGATTATCGATTGGCGGTCCACAAAATTCGACGACGGTTTCATGGATTTGTTCATGAGAGGCTCGAACCCCTAATCAGATGTACAAACTTGCATCTTGACTTGCAAATCGTTTGCATTTCAATGAAAGTTCATTTATTTGGAATTGAATTTGTTTATGTCGCCGGGGTTAGAATTCACCAAAAGGAATACAAAATTACTATAATGTGATCAGTAAGGTGAAATCAAAATTATTTTCGCTTGAGTAAGGGCCCAAACGGTAAGAAATGTTTATGTAGAATTAAATTCCTTACCCACATTTCCGGTTCCGGGATTTCTTAAAGCACATACTTATGTTTCACGTAAAGAAACAAGGCCGGTGCCGGATACATTATGATGGGTTTCACTGCTATTTTAACTGATTGCGTATGTATAATTTTTTTCAGTGTACGCCAAAAGCGAGTGTGGGCTTTGTCTTTAAAATGAATTGACAGTTTCAAAGAAGAATGCGAGCTGCACTCCAGATATGCAAATGAGTTGAGACAAATTGATGGAGAGGTAGAAAGCGAAAATACAGGAAGTGAACCACACTGACAAAGAAAAACCAGAAAGACACTAGTAATTAAGCCTAGCTTTGCTTTGAACTTCTCAGTATGAACGCAGTACATATGTACAAGTATAATCATGAACTGGTTAATGTAAATTAAAATAAAGCTTAATAAATCAGGAAAGCGATAGAAGATAAAACAAAAGCTGGGTGATATGTAATAAAGTATTTTATTTTATAGTGTGTACACTTCAATATCAATAAAAATTGTAAACACTTACCTTCACAATCGCCATGCATCATTGGTATATCGCCACGTTGTTCGAAATCCAGCGGCAGTTGTCGTTGTGTATAGCGTTCATAGCTATCTGAATTGTAAAAGTTGCGTACGTCGCGTTTCTTATTTTTCTCTAAAACACAAATAATTTGGAACTTCTATAAAGGTCATGCAATTATTTTCCCTAAAATATACCTCGTTCAGTGGTGACTTTAGTCTTCAAGATGCGTCTGTTGCCTCGCCGATTCAGGCCCTTTTGACAGTTGGCACGTTGCAGTGCGCTCTCTACATTGCCATCAAAGTGCAACGGGTATTTGCGCTCGCGGAACTTAAAAAATTAGGTGAGCGTATTTATTACATTACTTTTATGTAAACAAAGATTTTGTCATACACATACGTATTTTTTGTCCATCTTAATCGACTCACCAATTTAATCACTGGATCATCCATTTGTATGTACAATTTCGCCAAATTCATATCCAGCTCATGTGCTGCGCTCTCCTTACAGTCCACCAGCAGAGCAATGCGATTTTTGTGGAAGTGCAACGCCAGCGAGCGTATCGTACTCGTTTCATTAATATTGGGAATTGCGAATTGCAGCGACTCGGTGATGCCACTGGCGCTAATATCCAATGTCACTCGCTGCTCACGTCGATCCAGGAAAAACGAGAATTTATGCTTCAGCGTAGGAAAATCAATCATGAAGAGCGCTTCTATGGAAATGTGTAATTTGCGGCGAGGGCTACGGATTCAAGAGAAGAATTGCAGAATTCAATATACGAGGGGCCACTTTCTAGTGAAAATATATTCACCATTATAAATGAATTATTAGTATCTAAGAACTGTTATACTTTAATAAGAAAAACAGTAGAATGAAGTTTACTTAAATGTATCAAAGTATTTAATTGTGAGAAAATTTTGTGTTCCTTTCTTAAAATGTCACATTCTTGAATGTTATTTTAAAATTTTACCCTTGAAATTTCGCAATATTTGTTTTTGAAAAAATTATATGTTAAGGACTTATATAAACTGGATAACATCCTCGAATTTGGTCGTTCTAACTTTATCAACTTAAAAATTACCTATTCGTCCTTGTGAATCCAACAAATTAAAATTTTATATTCTAAAGAAATTTCCTATTGCATTTGTTACCCATATTTTTATCCTACATTGCATTGAAATTTTTAACAATTTTTGGAATTAATCACATCTTTGAAATAACAAAGCCCTTCAAAATAAATCCTGCGGTCAGAGAGCAAAATTAAAAAAGCCACTTTAAATAAAAAGGTAGGTTTCAAACTCATTTATTTATTATTTATTTTATGGTAGAAGAGCTCAAGCAATCAATATTAAATATTCAATACTTCAATATTACATATCTTCACTATACACGAATAAATGCACGCTAGTGTTTTGACGGCGAAAAAGGATGCGAAAAAAAAAGTTGACGAAAAAAGACGCTTAAGAAAAACGGGAAACTTAATTGGCGGCGAAGAAAGATGCGTAAACATAGACTTATACCTGGCCAAGGAATGCCACTTAAGCATTATTTCCCAATTTGGGAATTGGCATACTGTTATACCCGCAAACATAGTTGACGGCGAAAATAATTGTACGCGTCCTTCTTCACAGGCACAACCATGCCAATCGAGAGATCCGAGTTCGACATTTTTTTATTTACTTTTTCTGATTTTTATTAAAAAAAGAGGTATATGTATATAATTTTTAATTCAATTTAATTTATATTACCTACTAAATTTAATTTCTTTTTTATTCAATTTTCTTTTAATGGTTCGGTTATTGTTTTAAAATTTTTTTTTAATTTCGTTTAATTTTTAGGAACTTTTTTTTATTGTTTTTTTCTTTTTTAAACTAGTTTCTTCAGTTTTTCAGTTAAATTTTTGTTATAATTTTTTAGATTTTATTGTGTAAAATTTTTTTTTTAAATATCATTTACTTTTTAGAAATTTATTTTATTGTTTTTTTCTTATTTTTAAATTTAATTTGTTATTTTTTGATAATTCCATTTTCTTTTAATTTTTATTGTTTAAAAAGAAAAATATATCTATATTCTAGTATTACATTTAATTTTTATGACCACGTTATTTTTTTTGCATTTTTAAATAAAAATACTCTTAATCTAATTTAAATTTAAAGTACTATTTCTTTATTATTTTATTTATTTTTTTCTTTTCTAATTAAATTTTCTTTTATTCATTCATTTTTATTGTTTTAAAATGAAAAATATTTGTACAACATTTTTAATTTGATTGAATTTTTTTAAGAACATGTTGCTAAAAGGTGAACAGTATAACGCTAAGACTTCCCCCTAAGCAGATATTCCACTTAGTCTTTCGAAATGCAGTAAAGAGCTTTCAAGATATTTGCCAGAATTGATAATTGTTTTTCGAAGGACTGTGGTGAGTAGAAGTGGCGAGAATTGCCCTGTTAGTTGATTTTTATTTTTCCATCACAAATAATGATTATTTTATGATTTTTATTTTTTCGCTCAGAGATATAATTATTATCGAGATTTGTTTTTCTGATAAACAAAAAATTTTCAGGTAAAAGTGTTACCGTTTTTGAAATATTTAAATTTTTTTAATTTAAAAGAAAAATTGGACTTTTTCATGTATTTTCTTTAACTGCATCTACAAAACAGGCTATACTTAGTAAATTTTTTATGTAAAATATTTTCAGAGAGTTGCTTCTCCATACTCAAATGTAATGTAGTTAAAATATATTAAGGAACCATCATAAAATTATGACTATTTTGGGATTTTTAACTTTTTGATATTTTCTTTCTCAACTTTGACTATCTCTGGTGAAAAAAATGCACTGAGCTATAACTTTACAATACATAAAAAAGTGTTCATTTAATAAAGATTTCAGAAAGGTGCCACTCTTACTGTTTCGAATAGAAAAAAAAGTTATAGCCGCTTTTGTGGGCAAGGGCTGAGACACGCTAGAAAGTATTTAATAGATTTAAATTTAAGTTGCTCTTGTTACCAACCAATGCCCTAAAGTTTGGCAGGTTACTTCTGGGTCACCCTGTATATGCATTCGAATTTTTTTCTGTCTAGAGAGCCGAGAGACACTAAAAAATACAACTCGTGGGACTTGCATGTACTAGTTATGTGGCACACTCGGCGGAATATATTCAGAACCGGCTTTAACGTTATCTAGTGGAAAAAGGAATACACCGTATACTACCCCTGGTGTGGCTACTTCCAAAAAAAAACAATCATTCGGTTAAGAGATTTAGAAAACAATAACTTTAGACAGAATCTTCATCGACGTTTTCTACTTCTGTACATATCTGTATTTATAAAAGAGTTTATTTTGCCCTCTTGTAATATATTACAAACAGATTTTTGTTTACTTAAATGCTTGGTAAATACATATGTATGAAACTCACCGAATGTGTCGCATTGAAATAACACAATCTCCCTTTTTGATGTATTGTTCCAGCTCAGCCGAGGCCACTGCAGAAAAAAATTTAAATTATTTATAATTGAGCATTCGATAGGAATTAAATATGTCAATATTCCCCAACATGGGAAAATTTATGCATATGTTTTCTTAAATAATACTGTTAAAATTATAAAAAATGGTTGTGTGTACTCACCTGGATCGAGTGATAGCGATGAAACATCGCCAATCCACAAAAACGACGCGACCAAACCAAACAAATGCAGCCAATTCATCGTGGTAGTCTCGATTAAGATGAAATGTCGTTGGTTTTATAAGAAGATAGCTCTTGAAAGCTCTACTCAGACCTCATATAACTTTATCTGATTTACCGCGGTAATGTCGTAATTTTCGAGTGTTTGTATTAGTACACATGCGTACTCGTAAGTGTGTTGTCGTGAGTCCACTACAATTTTTATCAGCAGCTTATCGTATATTCGTTCGCTGCAAAAATTTACAAACCAAACAGAAACCAAATGAAATGAGCGTAACGAATTGCGAAAAATGTCAATAGGAGATATTGTACAGATGAGGTTGAACAAATTTACGAAGTTATTAGGCTTTATTTGCAGACACGCTTACATACAACACACTTTAGCAAAAACAAATACCCATATGCAAATCTATTTACATACATAATTTTTGTTTTGTTTTTATCAATATTGTTTTTTATCCGTGGCTAGTTGCCCCAGCGATTTGTTGTTCGGCTACAAGTAAGTGTCGACGCAGATAATTATACAGTAGCCAATTGCAAAGACAGGCACTCAAATTTATTATCATTTATGCGTTGACAGCTGCGTCGATGAAAAACGCCTTGCAAAGTCAACTACAACAAATTCGTGAACATTCGACATAATTGTGTTGGCGAGGATTGTATGGGTGGAGGAGGTGAATTTGTACGCAACACCGCATTAAAAACTGTGTCCATAGAGACACTGACGCAGAAATGTCAAAGTGTGGAATGTGGCAAACCGACAAACCGGCAAATGCAACCAAATTCAGGCAACAAATGTTGCTGTTGCCATAATTGAGTTGTGCACGATGTAGCAAACATAGCAAGAAGATGGTAACAACAACAACAAATATGTATATATAATATCAGCAAGTCACATGCAGTTAACCTGCTGAAAAATAATAACAAACAACAATAGGAAAATGTGCGAGAAGTAAACAAAAATGAATGATAGAAATTTATGTGCGTTTTGATTGGCATTAGGTGATTCCAACAAATGTGGCATATTGCTATTTGAGCTATATATTATAAGTTGGAAGCAACACTTAAATGTGGCAAAGTGTTAGGCAAACTATAAAAACAAAAATAGAACCTAAGATATATTGAAAATACATGGATAATATCATTTTGTAAACATTGAAAATGCAATTTGCTGTAGAAGATTGAATGTTAAAACTCGAACCAAACAGAGCAAGTATATATCAGACTAATTAACAATCTTTTTGGAATGTCTTTTATACAGTCAATACAGTCAGTATTGAAAATCCATTTTCGTGTAAATTCACTGAAAACTTGCACCTAAGCACAGATTACAACATGACAGATTAGGGACACGATATCGAACCGAAAGTATCGATATGGTACTCATTTAAAGTATCGCCGGAAAAATATCGGGTACCCATTAATATCGAAATAAAGAGACTCGATATCGCAAATATCGATACCAAACTCAAACCAAAAATAAATATCTGAAAAAGTGGTTAGAAACCTCCGAGCGTATTTCGGCCATGAAAAACACCTTCTCATAAAAACGCCCTTTGTGGCACAACATCAAGGCGCACGCAACAAATTGGAGGAGAAGCTCGGCCAAACGCTAACATATTTTGTAAGCGCCCATCTATTATTTTTACACGTAGAGATTGAGGTGTTGACTTAAAACACCGAGACCGCGTGTTCAAATCCCGCCACATGCAATCCTAACGATAGTAAAAAATTTCTCTTCTTTAAAGCCCAATTTATATCGGGAAGAGTTGATAATCGGATAAGTCTTGAAAGCAATTTTTTCGCATTCTCTTTTGTGTTTTCTATTTGCTTCCAGACGAGTCAACTTTTATTAAATTCAAGTTCGTGGTTCTTTAAATGGGAGGTATCTGCACTCTTCCCTTTCTTCTCACCTCCTTCGCCTTGGAACGAGCAGACTTGGAAGCAAGACTTGACGTGTCTGAAAGCTGGCTAATTTGAGTTTATGACATTCGATACGATACTAGGATTCTGGTACTCGATTCCAAAAAATATCGTTTTAAAACTGTCGAGTAAAAAATATCGGTATCGAATGCCAAAAGTATCGATATGGTATCGTATCTTATCGAAATTCGTGTCCGTATGACAGATCAACTCAAATAAAAATCACCCATATCCAATTAAAAGATGGAATAACTTTTGTCCATGCCGTCGAACGTCAGTTCATTTATGAAAATCATGGAAAGGCCGCAGTTCATAACACTGTACGGCATTTTCAGTTTTTTTCTGGGGAATTGATGAAACCAGGTTTCCCAGGTTACGAGATTAAGCGCTTTTTTCGGTTGATGTTGGTGGTCGCAGAAAAGATTGTACAACAATTAAAATTAATTAAAATTAAAATATTTATTGCACCAAGAGGCCTTTCTATTGATTTTGGGGTCCGAGGAATCTGAAGTTTCAATTTATTTTTGCCAAAAACGGCTACTGCCGAACAGTGTAATGATAGCTAAGCCTGTGGAACACAGCGTATTGGAAAAGTATTGTTATCAAAGATACATATTTTTAGGCTTCGTTTTCTGCATAAACATTCGCAGCCTAGTGGTTTGGCACAGCGTCAATTTCGTCGTATTTTTTTAATCTAGTCAAACAAATGACGTGCGACAAAATTGGCACTTTCACGGTCATCTCTGCAGCGCATTTTGAATAACAATTGGAACATTTTCTTCTATAAAATCTAAACTATCCTTTAGCTTTTGCTACTAGACCGTCAGACTTATTTGACATATCCAGTGTTGCCGCGGATCATTTTAGTGGTAGCCAAATTCCTTAAAAAAAAGGGCTAAAAAAAGTCGTTGTGGCTAAAAATGGTAGCTAAAATTTTTTACTTAAATTTAAATTAAAGAAAAAAATAAGATAAAATTAAGCATATACAACTTTTTCACGCCAAGTATGAATAAATTCTCCAAAGGGCTAAAAAAAAGGGCTAGAGACAATTTTAAATTTATGTAGCCAAAAACGTACTTATGTGGCAGCTAAATCTAGCCACCAAAGGGCTTAAACGGCAACACTGGACATATAATCGTTTAAAGTACAAAACCGCGTATCGTGGTTCTGTAAAACCTCGTAACTGACATTTATGTCAAAAAAGATATTTGCTCAACGGAAGCTCCTGGCATTAAGGCATTATACATTCATTATAAAATATCGATACTTAGCTATAAAGAGAAGAGATTATTGCGGATAAAACAAAGAACCGTTTTGAAATAGGACAAGTTGTACTCTCTCCTATTGAATTTAGGCAACCTCACATACGAGGCTTTGCAATTTCTGGATACGCGGTTTTGTACTTTAAACGACGATATGTATGTCCGTGCCATTCTGAGTCTTAACAATAAAGCTCCAACATTTTTGTCTAAACTTATCATTAGTAACGAGACCCAGTTCCATTTTTCCATCCTTGCACATTTTATTTTATTGGAATCTTTGAAATGCCAATGAGTTGTACGCTGTGAATTAACCAGTAGAGGCTCGGGTAATTGCAATGTTTGCAGAAGAGAATGGGGTGTATGTGTAAGCCATATAATGACTATGAACTTAGTTAAGTGCATAAAAATATAGTGACTGCGCTGGCCATGGAACGAGGTCGGAAAGCAGGGCGACCACCAATGGAAGGACCAAGTGCAGAAAACCTGTCTGCCCTTTGTGCGAATAATTGGCATAGCTTCGAGATTTTTGGTCTCAGCCCGAAGTATTTCCATACCTAGTTTTTCCATTTCCAAGCAAGAATTTCCTTTCTTTTATAGATCACAAAATTTGTTTACTCATGCGGGCATTATGCCAAAACACATCAATTTGTTGCGCGATCTTGCAATGTGTGATCGGCACGTTAAATAAATACATAATAGTTAATCTAGGATTGAAGCGAGCATTAGCATTAATGTAAGAATTATTAATAAATATTGAAGCAAGTTTTAGGTGTATAAAAAATGTGTCAGTGTATATAAATTGCAGTGTATAAAACTTGGCTAATGGTTTATGGGCCCGAAACAAAGCAAAAACCGTCGCATGTCGACTTTCGATGAATTTTGGATTTATGGACCATGCGGAAAGAAGAGTACGTCAAAGCGACAACTGCTGCTGGACTTCTACTGGGCTAGCTCTGCTAAGTTAAACACCCTCCTTTTTCGCGTGTTTCTTAAAGTTGCGTTTTAAGAGTGCAGAACAGTGCAAGGCAGAACTGCAAATATCTGACAGTTGTCAGAGCAGTTTAGTGCAAAGATTTCAAAAAATGAAAGCCGTGCAACCTAGGGAGGCTAAATTATTAAAACATTTATTTACGGGAAAATGACAAAATTGATGCATTTATACTTATGGTTTAGGAATTAGTTTCATCTCAATTTAAAAATTAATATAGTTTTCCATTTTTGATGAAAACTAAATATTTTAAGTTTTCTGTTACTTTTGTATGGCTTCTTCTCTGAATAGTCGAATTGTTTTATGTGCTGCGCAAACTTGCACTTGACAAGAAGTTAGTCTCATTTAGTGCTTTCTCAAAAGCACTGTTCAGAACAGTTTATTATAAGAAATAGCATAATCAAAAGCTTTCCTAAAGTGAAATACTATAGTACATTCATCGAACTGACCTTAGGCTTCTACTAGAGAGCTTGATGAATATAGTAGAGTATACAGAATTAAGAAAAGTAAACGAGTATACAGAATTAAGAAAAGTTAATCTTTGTTGGACAGTCCGTTTCTTTTTTGTTTTTCGTTATTGCAGATGACCATTTATATATGTATTTTAAGTTGCAATAAAACATATTTGCTAATAAACTTCCAAAAAACACTTTGAAGGAGTGCAATTTTTATTACTTCAATAGGGAATTTTAGAAAAGCTTCTCCTAATCGTCCTACAAAAGCCCTTCTATAAGTGCCGAAATTAGAAGCCCATTTGTGTCACTTCATACAAAAAGGAATGGAAAAAGCAATGCAGAATGGAAAACCTCCGGAATCTTAGGAAGGCCTTTCAAAAGGGCTTCTAGATTTTAAAATTGCTGTGATCCTGGTCTCTCCTTCACCTATTAACTTTCATTATGATAGCTTTCTGAACATCTAAGAATATTACAAACAGTGTACCGTAAACATATTTTACTCTATTCTACTGCCCAAATATGCGTATCTCAAAAACTACTTGACCGAAATCGATCAAATTTTATATACATATTGAGCTTGTCCTCCTTAAGCACCGTGTGGA